TGGAATGGCCCAATACTTGACGTGAATTTATAACTTTGTTAAACTGTATTAACAGTTTGTCGGCATGTTAATATTTCAAGATATCAGTCTGCTTCTATTCAGTTTATTTGATCCAGACATATTGCCTTTTTATTTTTTGACAAAACTTACATACTGTTTATGTTTTACCACTAATTTCACAGATTTTGTATGAGCTAGTAACATTTATAGCAGCCAAATAAAAAATAATCAAGTGACTAGACAGACGGGAGTTATTTCGTATTTTGTAGCAATATAAAAACTTTTGTTTGCGGTAATTTTCACCAAGTTTGTTGTTAGCTCAAGCGGTAAAGGTGCTGCGTACTAAAAGTGAAACGCAGTCGGGGTCGATGCCAAACGTTTATCATCTGATTTAGCTTTTTTTCTCAATTTTTTTAATTTCTTTTTTTTTCTGCCTTATTTAACTCTTAAAAGTTAGACTGGTTAGTGTTTGGGATCGGTATAAAATCTAAAGTACTTTAAAAAGGTTTTAATAATGATTAATTTAACCTGTTTTATCTGTTTGAAAACTGTTTGAATATTGAGTTGCAAAATCAACCGGTGATAATCCTAATTGTGATCGAGAGGACGTCATTTTTCAATTTTCCTTTTATTCAAAATAGGACGCCAGTTAAAATAACTTTCCTTTTTACTGTAAATGTTTTAATATTTCACAAACGAAAAACTCACCGTATCTCTTGCCCTGCAGCATCCTCCACCTCATCTTCTGTGGAGAGAACGGTATCTTTGGGTACCACTTCAATTAAAAAACCCTCTGCCTTTTTTCCTTTCTCATCTTTTGCGACGTAACCTTTGCATCTTAGGTAGAAATTCGTTGCAAGAATGAACATTTGGCCCTTCCTGTAACCAATCTCACCATCGAATTCAAAGTACTTCGATGACTGAGGAGATTGATCAGTGTCACATGGAACTCCCGGCTCGGAGTCTTCAAATGACGAATCCATGTTTGATCTAGCCTGCGTAGCAGGCGTTTAGTGCGGGCGGGAGAAGAAAGGGCGTTGTTAAATAAACGCCTGCCCAAATGCCTATGATTAATTTGTTCTTCTCCGAAGAATCTTCGGAAAAGCTTCCCATTGGTCAAACTCGTTAACGGAAGTAATTACGTAACTCAAATGTCAACAATAATTTTGCTCGCATTGACGTGTTTATAGTCGCGTATCAAAAATATGCCGCCTGTTAATGCTTTTGAGTAAACTGTCTTATATTTCAAGTATTTAGGCTTCGAAATTCAGTTGAACCAGAACAGAGAAAGTATATTATTAATTCGCTACGTGGTGAAGATGCCGGTTATCGCGATTCTTCCTAGGAATACGGAAAAGTTTGATCTTTCAATTATACATTTTAAATATACCCTGAATATTTCGTTAATATAGTTGTCTTGTTATTTGTTCACTTTAAAGTATAATTCAAGACCAGATAGTTGAGGCTATATCACTTGGCATTGCAGCTATGAGGTTGAATGATGATTATTAAGAATAACATGTCAAAACATGCTCAACTGTTATATTTGCTATACAGAGAATTGTTAAACAACCGTGGTTCAGGAGTCTTTTAAAAGATAAAAGCTCTGTGCACGTTGTGACTGACTGTTGTCTAAAATAGCTTCAAAAATTTTATAATTCATGAGGAAAACACAAAGAAAAATCATAAACGTGTCGTATATCCTTGATATGTGATAGAGATTTCCCTTGATTTACATAAATTTTAATGATTTTCTCTACATATACACACCGAATTTTTTGAAAGCTACTTCGCCAATGAACATATACTAGATCGATTGTTTTTGAAGCAATTTAAAACATTCGCAGTGCGTGTTTTATCAGACCATCTTTATATCTGATAAAACACTGCTGCTCGTATTTTAAATAGTACATAAAATCTCTGCAAATCTCTGTAGTTGCCGAGCAAAAAGCATGCATGATGCTAAATATAAATCTCGACTATGATTGGCTAATGGGTGAAGGTGCTAATTACAAAACGTCAATCATCCTTAATGTGCGAAAACAAATTTGTCATAGCCAATTTGGGCAGGCGTTCCCTCTGTACCCGCCCGTCAGCTAAACGCCTGCTATGCAGGCTATGTTTGATCTGTTCAGAATGGTTTTAAAGGACTTTTCCAGACCACGTGACCAGCACCACCTGAGTGCAGGCTACAGCTTCAGCGAAATAGGAAACCCTGATGTATACGCGGCTACATCATTAGACTTATGAGGGGGGGAGGAGCTGGAGGATTTTGAAAAAAATATCGAAAACATGACTCCTCAGGGGAAAAATCATGCAAAGGGAGTGCGACGGAAAAAAAAATTGTGCAAATTTGACTTTCCTTCTTGCAGTTCTACTTTGAAGTGTTTTCGACTCCAACTTTAATTAATCAGTAAAAATTCCCATCCCAGATTGCATGAAACCGCATTTGCGGGATTCTAACTTTCAAAATTTTCTCCGGGGGAGGACCCCCGCACCGCCCGCTACAATCCACCTTAGTCAACCCTATCGTCACCAGGGAAGAATCCTTCACAAAGACTCTTTGTCAAGCAGCACTGTAATATTACATGCCATCTGCTAGGGTATTCTGACAAAAATTGCTACAATGTTATTCTGAACAGGCATATGTGATTGCTATATATTATAAATATCCAAATTATAACTGGAAAAATCCTACAACGGCATGTCTCCCGGAGCGTAAAGCAGCGTAAAGCACTGTAAAGCATTGTAAAACAGTGTAAAGCACTGTAAAGCAGTGTAAAGCAGTGCAAAGCACTGTAAAGCACTATAAAGCAGCATGTAAAGCAGCGTAAAGCAGTGTAAAACAGTGTAAAGCACTGTAAAAGAGTGTAAAGCAGTGTAAAGCACTGTAAAGCACTTGAAAGCAGTGTAAAGCACTGTAAAGCAGTGTAAAGCACTGTAAAACAGTGTAAAGCACTGTAAAGCAGTGTAAAACAGTGTAAAGCAGTGTAAAGCACTGCAAAACAGTGTAAAGCAGTGTAAAGCACTGTAAAGCAGTGTAAAGCACTGTAAAGCACGGTAAAGCACTGTAAAGCAGTCTAAAGCCCTGTAAAGTAGTGTAAAGCAGTCTAAAGCACTGTAAAGCAGTGTAAAACAGTGTAAAACAGCGTAAAGCAGGGTAAAGCAGCGTAAGGCGCTGTAAAGCAGCATACACGTCAACCTGAAACGTGATGAATTTTACACGTGCGCGAATTTTTTTGGACGGGGGGTTGCGTGAGGTATATTTCGGCCAGGGGGGCTACGCGAGTTTGAGAAAACAATGAAAAAATGCGAAAGGACTGAACGGGTACTTTTGAGTCATCCCATTTAGCATTCACCGTCTTGCAAGTGGGTTGTTCTGACAAAATTATCCAGCCAATATATCCAGCACATTTATTCATCTTTCTTGTATTATTAATCTCTAAACAAAAACATTTATGTTAGAAAGTGGAAATGACAATGTGGAAGGGTGGGGATTCTGTTATTAGCATTTGAAAATGTTTGTAAAAATTTTGTTTAAAATTAAGACTTTATAATGTGTAAAACCAAAATGTATAAGTATTTTAAGTGATATAACATCTTTCTAGTTTGCTTCTATATGTCAGAGTGTCTAACACTGCACTTGCTTCTAACACTGCATTTGATGACAGCTTAGTTGGACTGTTGTTTTGAACAGAAATACAGGCCCATGATTTAATTCAATATCTCCTGAGAACATTAGCTTCCTTTGATATTGTTCATTGGCAATATTGCCTGCTACGGTTTGACTATTTAAAATACTACATGAAAAAGCACAATTAACACAACTATATATACTGCATCTTCCATATGAAATACCATCTGCTAACATACTTCACAAGCACGGTCAACCCAAGACTCTGTGAGGTTTGCTATAGCCCTAACACACAGTCACGTCATGATTCAATGTTTCATTAAAAATCACATCTCTCCAGTACCATCCATTTATCTTCTTAATGTAATTTTGTTGTATATATATATATATATATATATATACAACATTTTAGTCATTCTTGACCCTTCTGTTGAAGCTCCACAGGTATTTTAGTCATTCTTGACCCTTCTGTTGAAGCTCCACAGGTATCTGTGATGATGGTGCTGCACTCCCTCCTGAAAGCGAGTCCTTCTGGTGCATTTATCCACTGGCCTATCTTTATCACGTTTCCAATTCCATACTGGAAACCTCATCAAGAATCTTATAGAAGTTTTGACTCCAGTTCTCTGCATTTGCCACTTTGTTCATGATCTTACTTCTTGGAGGAACAGGTATTATGAGAAGACGATCTAGAAAACTTGTATATTTATGTATAATTAGAGAGTGCTCAATTAATGAACGTACATGTATATGTATGTATATTTTGGGTAACCTGAAAATATTGTGTTTGCAAATGTACTGTAAAGCAAGTACAATATCCCTTGGCTGACAACTTTCTGCCTCCCCAAATGTTTTTTAAAGAGGATTGCTGTGTTGGTGTGCAGTCAAAATAGGGTTATCATCATCATCTAGGAGGCTATCTAAACACCATCTTTGTGTAAACTCAACATTTCTAGGTTAACTACATAGAGAATAATACATGGGTGTGCGGAAATACCAGATTTATTTGAGTGTTGAACATGATATACTGTACACAAGCACCCATGTATTTTCTGTTTACTATATAAAGAACGGTCTTTGAACGGTCTTTGTCTTTTGGTAATTTTTACAGAAAAACGATAATTGAAAAGCGGTAATAAATTTCACATGTGAGATTATCATAAATAATATCACATGTGAGATTATCACTTTTATCAGTGCTCGAAATCTGTATAAAGCAATATACTTTATATAATAAATGTATATATTAGACATGTTAAGCTGAAGTATACAAAGCTGCATGTAATCTGCATTTATATTTATTTCAGCAATCTTACCGACCTCTCTCGGGTTTTAATAGCCATTCAATAACATGGTTGTTGACAGTAAACATAGGACAGCATTGAGGTGTCCAATTTCCAGCACACGATACTGCTTTGCCAGCATCATAGAATCTCTTTGCTGCATCCCCAAGATCTTTTGGTTTGGTGGGGTCATCAGCGATGCAACCCAATGTAGTGCATGTTGCAACACGGCCAATCACCTGTTAGTTAGTTTTGTAATTAGAAAATATGGTACATAATCCTTTGTTGAATTTCATATGACCAGCATTGTATTTATGCTTTCATGTACAGTGACTTAGGCATGCTCACTAACATAGGAAGCAATTTTGTATTGGGGGGCTGATAAGTCAGGGGCGATTATTACATGTAGCAGTATTTTCCGCTCAAACATTACAGATTATCGCTAATTTACAAATTATTGGGAGTGAAATATTACAACCAGGCTATAATTGCAACCACTAAATTATGTAAAGTTAATAAGAAATTGGATAAATAGACCATATGGAAATGACTGTGAAGTTGACGTTCACTCCTTAAAAAGTAATACATTTGTTGCATTGTAACTGGTTCCAAAACATTCTTTAATTTTACAAATAGAATTTAAAGAATTTATGCATACCTTATCTGTGAATAAAGAAAAGAATAGCTGCGGCCATCCACCAGTTAAAGCCAAACCGACTTTGGATGCTGTGGTTTTTCCACACCCAACACCGCCAACACCGACAACTATTGGACTTGCTCCAACTGCTTTTTGCCACTTGGGTGAATTGGAAAGAAGAAAATTGGTGAGTGTAATGTACATTTATAAAATAGTCGAATTCATAGTAGAAGATGAATTTCATCTGATAGATTTCAGGAAAATCATCTGATAGATTTCCATCTGATATACTGTAAATCGGAAAGTTTTTATTAGCTTTTTTCAAAATTGTGGGTTATTCAAAACACATGCTGTAAGCTTCATGCAGACCATATCAGATGTTGGGATCTGAGGTGACTGTGTTACTTGCGAGTGACTGGAGCTGACTGTAAACCTCAGAAGTCTTTTGCACTCTATACTTAGCAGAGAATTTCAATTTTTCCCAGTATCTTTTTGCAATATTTACCAACCAGATTTAACATATAGGTTTTTATTTTCTATAACATTCTCCTTTCTATTTTCATGCTTTGTGTGGTTTGACTATTTTCTGTTCTGTGGCAAAGTTTTTTTCTCAAATATCAAGCGGTCAATCTCAGAGTTACATTTCCTATTGCTAAAATTGACTTTCTCAGGCCCAATTTCCGAAAAGGGTCTGTTTCCCCATCGCAACTCACAAGCTACCCGGTCCATGTATGTGGACCGGGTAGTTTGCTAAATGCAAATTATTTTTGAAAACTATACGGGGATGGCATGTTCACCAAAAATTTCACCTTTTAATAGCAATGAACAATTAACCTTTCTCTCATGGTAGGGGTCATATGTGCCATTTGGTGGGAACTCTCTTCCCACTTCAGAGAATTTAGAACAATTTCAGAGAATTTGTATATTATCAACTTGGGTGGTTTAGCCCAGTGTAATAAAGGCTAATATTGGTTAATATGAATTTCTGACCAAACCTTACTTCTTCATAATTAGCTGTTATGCAAGCCATTGATACAATGCTGAAAACTGATAAAAAAATTTGATTCCGTCCCCAGGTCTTGCTTGTTCAATAGCAGCATCGTCAGCACTGATGATAACACCAAGGTTTTCTACGTAGGTGGACATATCAAAATCGTTGGAACAAGCAGTAGCGAGGTGTCCTCGCAGGAAATGACACATGACATCAAAACCTTTGTTGGAGAGAGGCAGCGATACTGTTGCTTTGTATTCAGCCTTCGCTATGTCAACCCCATTGCCGTCAATTAGATGACTCAACCAGACCAATCCAAATGGTGTTATGTCCGTGACGATCTCTCTATTTTCATCGATTGCAATCTTCTCGTCGAGTACCCATAACGGGCGTCCATTTCCCCCGATATTTTCCCCCACCACTTTTACTGCTTTCATAACCTCATCATCATCCAACCCGTCTTCTAGTGTGCAGAGCAGGCTTTTCATTGTGGACGTCGAGAGGTTAATA